ATCGGAGTTACATACATTGTGGTATTATTATTGCACGGCGTCAGGCACTACTATGGATCAATATTTCCGAGGTTCGAAGCTTTTGCATGCTGATTATCACCGGATATTGTTACCTGCGTTTCAAAAAAAAAGTTTGCAGAAAAATAACCATATTACTGATACAATATATTGATGTGGTTATTTCCTTTATCATGCAGCTTTTTAAATTAAAGCGAGTTTCTATAAACGGGCATGTTCTTTTGACCTTTTTCTACTGGATTAGTCCATTTGTCTTCTAGGTAAGGGGTGGCACATTCATTTCGCGCAAAATGTCACGTACATGATTGTGCCTTTCACTCTTTTCCTGGACGATTCTATTTGAATGGACATGAAAACTGCATGAATTTTATATTAAAGGCTGTTCTTTTTATCGGAATGTCGATCGAGCTTTGGAAAAAAAAAACATATCTGTGATATTGTGAAATAAGTTAGAAGTTGCATCATTTCAAGTAATAAAAGCGAAACGAACAAAGACTTCTTACAGTGTAAGAGGATGAACTGGCTAAATATCTGATCATATTCCCCCCTCCAGGGATTCCTCCTCCATAAACAGAAAAAAGACATATATAGGAAAGTGTTCCCTCACATTTCAGGATTGAGGAAGTTTATTACTTTTTTGCTCTTAAAAATATATTTGATGTGGACCCCCCACCTCGAGAAAAACATCCTGAATTCATAAAACATAACGGGCATTATTTATTATTCATACCACGTTTCCAGCAATCGTTGATGCTCTGGTATACCCAACAATTAAAGTAATAAACATATTCTGCATGTCAGTCATAACCGTTACTATTCCCAATTTCCAAAGCTCTCCACCAGCAAGTGGCATCTCCAATCCATGCAACAAACGAAAAACAGAACAAAACTATATTTTAAAAATATTCAATATCATGTTATATTTTTTAACTCTTCACTATACTCATACTGTTACCCACATACATGTACATGTACTGTACATTCCTTTTTTATTTGACATACATACAATACATACGTTTAATATAAAATTTACTCATTTTCCATTGCTCTGATGAGTTGCACACAACTTAAAATGAATGCATGGTGTTTTGTGCAACGTGTTCATTATTATTTAGTGAAATAATTTAACACCTCCCTCTCACCCAATGTAAACGTTTATAACTTTAATATCATGCTGATAGGTTCTATAAATATCGATGGCATTAGTCAGGCAAGCTTTTTGAAAAGCTTTTACTTGCACTATGGGTTAAAAATTATTTCCGAAACAAGTGCCTCTGCTACAGTGTGTGAATTGAATTGATCATATTTTATTGTTGTATTTATACAATTGGATTATAGTAAAAAAAAGTTGTTTATAAGGTGACTGTTTAACGATTTTTCTTTTCATTTAGTGTGCTTACACAGCGAATGAGATAAAAATATGCAAATATAAATACAGAAAAATCTACAGCTTTTCCCTGCATGAACACTGTCAAGAAAGATAGCCACAAATTCTGTGTTGTGTCGTTATTATTGTTTAAACTTTTAACTATTTAATTGTTTTAAAATTTGAAAAAAATAAACCATTCATCAAGTCTACTGTTTCTATAACAAAAATATTTTCTTTATATACATCTTGATATTTTTTTTCTGAAGAGGTTTGGCGAAAGAGAAGTTATTTGAATTATAATGTTTGAAGCAAAGCCAAGAATCTTGGATACTTTTTAAATCTAATCAATGTACCGTTTTCGTATCCACATTTTTTTTTTTATTTCTTTAAAGGCTTAAAGGGTTATTGATATATAATTTAACGAAACTCGTCTATTCCTTTTTTATACCCCACGCAACAAGTTGCGTGAGGTATAATGTTTTTTACCTGTCCGTCAGTGTCAGTCAGTCCTGTTTTTTTGTCAGCGCAACTCCTCTTAAACCGCTGCACAGAATTTCATCAAACTTTGCAGATATTTAGGACACAATATGTAGTTGTTCATATTACCAGGAAATTCCGATTCCTTTATTTTTTTCAGGAATTTCCGCACTTTTTAACTTAGATTTTTGGCCATACCTTGAATATAGAGATGAACAGTTTGTCAGCGCAACTCCTCATAAACCGCTGCACAGAATTTCATCAAACTTTGGAAATATTTAGGACACAATGTGTAAATGTGCATATTACCAGGAAATTCTGATTCCTTCATTTTTTCCGAGAATTTCCACACAATTCAACTTAGATTTTTAGCTAACCTTGAATATAGAGATGAACAGTTTGTCAGCGCAACTCCTCATAAACCGCTGCACAGAATTTCATCAAACTTTGGGGATATTTAGGACACAATGTGTAGATGTGCACATTACCAGAAAATTCCGATTCCTTTATTTTTCCGAGAATTTCCACACAATTCAACTTAGATTTTTGGCTAACCTTGAATATAGAGATGAACAGTTTGTCAGCGCAACTCCTCATAAACCGCTGCACAGAATTTCATCAAACTTTGGATATATTTAGGACACAATGTGTAGATGTGCACATTACCAGGAAATACCGATTCCTTTATTTTTCCGGGAATTTACCCACTTCTCAACTTAGATTTTTGGCCATACTTTGAATATAGAGATGAACAGTTTGTCAGCGCAACTCCTCTTAAATCACTGCACAGAATTACGTCAAACTTTGCAGATATTTAGGACACAATGTGTAGATGTGCATATTACCAGGAAATTCCGATTCCTTTTTTTCCCGGGAATTTCCACACTTTTCATCTTAGATTTTTGGCCATACCTTGAATATAGAGATGAACAGTTTGTCAGCGCAACTCCTCTTAAACCGCTGCGCAGAATTTCATCAAACTTTGGATATATTTAGGACACAGTGTAGATGTGCACATTACCAGGAAATTCCGATTCCTTTATTTTTCCGGGAATTTACCCACTTCTCAACTTAGATTTTTGGCCATACTTTGAATATAGAGATGAACAGTTTGTCAGCGCAACTCCTCTTAAATCGCTGCACAGAATTACGTCAAACTTTGCAGATATTTAGGACACAATGTGTAGATGTGCATATTACCAGGAAATTCCGATTCCTTTTTTTTTCCGGGAATTTCCACACTTTTCAACTTAGATTTTTGGCCATGCCTTGAATATAGAGATAAACAGTTTGTCAGTGCAACTCCTCTAAAACCGATGCACAGAATTTCGTCAAACTTTGGATATATTTAGGTCACAATGTGTAGATATGCATATTACCAGGAAATTCCAATTCCTTTATTTTTTACGCGAATTTCCGCACTAAAAACTTAGATTTTTGGTTATACCTTGAATATTGAGATGGACAGTTTGTCAGTGCAACTCCTCTTAAACCGATCCAATGCACAGAATTTCATCAAACTTTGCAGATATTTAGGACACAATGTGTAGACGTGCATGTAACCGGGAAATTCTGATTCCTTTATTTTTTCTGGAATTTTAAGCACTTTGAGTTTTGGGGAGGTGGGGTGTGTGAGCTTGCTTTTATTTATTTATAACTTCTCCATTATTACAATTCTGAGAAAGTTTATCGCATATATATAATTTCAACATGACTTATTCACAAAATTAAAATGTTTTTTTTTTTAAATAATAAGGTAAGTTTTTAATTCAATTTAAAAAAGCCCATTATGCAACAAAGTGCCTACACAGACGATATGCCGCAAAGTGCTTGACATTCCATGACGTAACAATGTACAAATTCAAACGCTCACGTTTTTTTTATTACAATATGAATTAATTATTCGTTTGTGACGTGTAACCTTTAACTTTAACCCATTTAAAAATTTGATAAAAAACCCAATTGTATATCAACTTAGCCGTTTTTTAAAACATACAAGTTTTCTTTTAAAACATCTTGATATTTTCTCACTAGAAAAAGGACAACAAAAAAGGGGTTTGAATTATAATATTTCACGCAATGCCAAGATTCTTGGATAAGTTTGAAATGTAATCAATGTACTGTTTTCGTATCAACATTATTTATTTTAAGGCTTAGAGTGTTACTCATATATTATTTACAATGTAACAAAAATTCGTCCAATTTTTTTTTTGGTTAAAATCTATAGACAAATTATTTTTTACGTCTCCATAATAACAATTCTACCAATTTTCATCGCAGATATATTATCGTTTACATGCTTTTTCCAACCAATAGAACCGTTTTTGAACAGTAGGGTGAGTTAGTAATTTACATGTAATTAAAAAGGCCCAATTTGCCACGATGTGCCCATATAGATGAAATGCCGCTAAGTGCTTGCATTCCATGAAATAACTACATGTATATATAAATCGAAATGCTCACATCTTTTTTATTACAATATGAATTCATCATTCGTTACTGATGTGATACCTAAAACTTTTAGCCATTTAAAGATTTGAAAAAACGCCTATGAACTTTACCGTTTGTTTAAAACATATACACTTTCTTTCAAAACATCTTGATATTTTCTCTGTAGGGAAACGGCGATAAGGAAGTAGTTTGAATAATAATATTTCAAGCAATGCCAAGAATCTTTGATATCCTTCAAAAGACAATATTTTCTTCAGAAATCAGCAATATTTCTCATTGATGTATTCTGAGAAAGATAAATAACGATTGCTAGAGTCAGCGAGAGATTTTCATAATATATTGTTTCAATGTTCAAATTATTGCACACCTGCGTAGAAAAAAGTCCCATATTCAAATGCAAGCACCAGAAAAAAACTTGCAATTTGTCAATATTTTTTGGGATGTATTATTTATGCCATATCCATTCAAAAACAGTCAAGCAATATACGACAATTCATGCATCAAATTTATGATTGTGTTATGCGTTCTTTTTAGGTTTTTGATTATGTGTGTAACTTGATGGAAGATTCATTAAAAAGATTTTTTGTCTACTTTAAGATCTATGAAGAAAGGTTTATTTTACCATTTTATTTGGATTACAGTATTTATAAATAATATATTCTTATAATAAAAATCAATCGTAATACATAGAGGTCAATATGGATGAACCTGTTATGAAAGCCACTACCACATTAATTTCTTAATGTTTACTGTTTAATGTGTATTTTAACAGGTTAAATATCAGATCATGCTTCAGAACTTTATCATCTGATTAAGGCAATGATCACCCATGTTCGTTGTGGACATACGTTATTTTTTTTTGGATGTCTTCTAACATGCATCCTTACAAAGGGTATTTTGCAAGAATAATTGTCTTTTTTCATTTTCCGCTACCAACATTTGTCCAAAAGATTTATTCCTAAAATTTGAAATTGATTCAAACACGTTGTTTTAAAAATGCCACTATTGGTTGCAGTAAATGTTTTCTTCAGATGATGATTCTTGTGCCCAGATGTAATCCAAAACAACATCGTAAATCATTTTGTACTCCTCCTAAAACAAAAGTATCATACACTTTTATACAATCATTCACTTTTTTCTTGAAAACTGGGGAAAGAAAAATTAACTTTTAGAATATAATTATACAAGTATGTGATGCATTGATGATAGAGTTTACCATTGAAGAGCATAATTCTGGTCGTCGTATCTGTAACTGTCGAACAGTAGAAAAGATATCCACCTCCCCGTCTATAGACAACTGCTGTAGTGCGTTATATACTGCACAGAATACCCCACACAAAACTGCACCATCACTAAAAATCAAAACAATATTTAAAATCCGATAATTTTCTATTATAGATTTTTCGAAAAAAAAAAATTATTAATTTGGATTTCTTACAGAAAATTCTTTTTTTTTTTTAAATAAAAATATAGTATAACAATCATGAATCTATCAAAACATGCCCATGAACATTCAAATAAGTCAAACACCTTAAATTGGTCTTTAAAAGACTAAATGACGTAAGCACGCACCTTACAGCTCGTTAGAATTGAAGATTGATTGTCTTTTCACAATAAAATTAAAGCCTCAACAAGTTAAATCGAGTATTCGCATAGGATTTTCAATAGTTACAGATTACTTAAAGGGGCATGGACACAGTTTCAACTGAGTTTTTTAACCCAATTTTAATATTTACAATTCCTACCAAAGGCATGATCTAATAACTGGTAAAACATCATTTGTTGATTAACAAATGAGATATAGAACTTAATGTTCTTTATTATTTAAACAAGGCCTTGTTGTTGTTTACATATAGACAATATCATATTTATAACAAAATGAAATTTAGCAAATCAATAGAAACTGTCAAATCGAATTTAAAATCAACTTTTTTATTGAAATTATCTACTTTGAGCGGACATATATTAATATATTAACCTATGTAAACAAAAACATGACACAGTCCTTGTTTACATAACAAAGGTTTGGAGCTCTAAATCTGTCTTGTAACTCGACAACTGACGTCCATATTGTTGATGATCATTAGAAAGACCCTAGTTGGATATTTGTAAAAATGAAAAAAAATAAATTTAAGCTGAAACTGTGTCCATGCCCCTTTAATACCTTAAAAATACATACTTAACATATATTAAAGCGTTTTCATTGATCATTAAATTACGATGTTCAGTTTTCCTTTTTGAATATGGTTAATGGTTATTACACGAAACAGTAATTTACACTGTACATGTAATACACTTTATTACACAGTAACCAAAATATTATGGAATTCTTCAATAGAAGAAAAATGTCGTTTTTGTCTCTTTGATGCAATGTCAAAATAAAATATAAAGTGTATTACAAAAAAAGCGTTAAGCGATCTTAATCCAACGATAGGTAATCCATAAAGCATAAATTACCTGCTAACTACTGTTATAGGACCATCTGTTTCACTCTGAAGAGCAAAGGAAACCAAGCCTAACATCTGCACTGTAGCCTGGGAACGTTCTGTTTGAATTTCATCTGTTGGTTCTATTATTGACACTGAACAACCATTCTCATTTTTCTACAATTTATATGATAAAAATTGATTCTTACGAGAAAGTATTCGGATATATATTCAAGCAATTATAAGTTCCCTGCCAGTGAAATCTGAGAGGGGTGGGTAAAGGTTTCTTCTCAAACTATCCGTTCGTCCGTCCTTCCGTCTGTGTGTCCCACTTTGTGTTTTGCCCTTTTTCTAAGCCCTTGCAGATACGAGCTGAATTTTGGTATGTGAGTGTATCTTGAAGAATTACAGATCAAGATTTCATTTCGCTCTGCTTCAAAGTTTTTGACAGAAATAGAATTTTGGTACTTTTTTCCAGAGTTTTTCTACAATTTTCTTCTTAAGGTCTGCACATACTGGTATGTGAGTTTACTTTGATGAGTAATAAATGAAGTTTGCATTCAGCTCTGCTTAATTGATTTTTGACGGAATTATAACATTAATAGTTTTTAAAGGGAAACAGGTTACACCCGCCGGTAGGGGACAAGTATTGCAATACTCTCAGAATGCTACTTTCAATTGAAATCATTGTACATGACATTGTACTTACCAGCCAAATAGTTGCCAAATACTGTAAAATTACTAGTATTTATTTTAGAGAGTTAAAGGGAATAATAATTCATACCTAAAGAATCATCACTGTTCAGTAATACTGAAATTTCTTATTTCGTATATCGTTTTGGGGTATAAATTCGTTGATTCCTTCATACCTTCAAAACAATAATACTGATACCCTGTCGAAAATAAGTTATTTCACAGTAATTATTCTCACCCCATCCTGAGAAATGCTGATTGTTGTACATTTAATATCTGTCACTTGTTCACTTCCACAGTGAATAGTGAATGGGGAAACTCTTTTTGAGCTGTTGGTAGTCGGCAGCCAATGTTTATGCTGGAATAGAAACAAGACTTTTTGAAATGATCAGATACCTCTCGCTTCGGTGGAAAGTTAAAAGATACTGGTTTAGTGTTTTTGCAAAAAAGTCAGACAATCAGAAAAAAATGGCCTCAGAAAATTTTTAACCAAAAAATTTAACTTTGAACATTCGGCATAATAAAAATAATCACAAATGTAATCTTTCTTTTATGTTATGTTTACGTTATTGGTTAAGTTATAAATCTACGTACCGATTCGATGTTTCTAAGAGGATTCATACAAATCACTAAGTCTGACTCGTGATCATTGAGCAGGCGCAGGAAGTCAACAGCACCATCTGGTGAGGGATAATGTGTTATTATGAATACATCTGGTTTGCTGTAAGACTAAAATTAGTAAATTGTATAAGTAAGAAATGGATATATTATGCAAAGGGTATATCAGTATTCAGTAAAAAAAATATTTAGATTTCATCTGCTTAGGAAATATGGTAATTTACATGTATCTGCACTTGAAATAATCTAACTTCCAGATTTTATCCTTCAAATTTTTAAAAGTATACCAGTATTTATTCTCAAATTCCAGAAATTTAAGCATGCAACTTTTTAATGTTTAGTATATTACTGTGGAGGATTTTTTTAAATTGCTACCTACAGGAACAGTGACTGCATTGATATAGTTCCCGCGTTTCGGTACATTCGATGACAGGAAAAGACTGTATTTGTCAACTGTTAAAAACAAAATCATATCAAAGACAAATACTTTCATACATTCTAATATATTTACATTTAGATTAGTTTAAATGTAATCCAGTCATCATATTAAGTACATGGGGTTTTAATTTGTAATATTTGTAAATTTACTCTCAAACAGTTAATAAAACAATACATCCATTTGTAATGGATTTATTTGGTCTGATGTGTAAATTGGGTTTTCTGACCCCGATGCAATGTACATGTATTATGACATAACTAGAATAACTTATTTCCGAATTGGTGTAATTACTACTACACGTATGTATAGGACTCAAGGTTTTTGTTACTTTGTTAGTCTCAGTTTTATTTTTGACACTTAATTTTAAACAAAAACGTTATAATTGTAAGAATAACAGTAATGTTACTAAATGGAAAGAGCTGTAATTAAACGTTTAAATCTTAAACGTACGAACATTATATTTTATTATACTTTCATGTTAAATACTAAAATCTGATTGGTTTAGACGCAGTTAACAATCTGTTCTATTACCCTGAGCCTTAGCAACACACGTGACAACGGGTAACACAACGGTAATGCCACATGCGTGGAAATTATGCGCGTACGGTTCACCGTAGAATTCTCAAAACGTCAGTTGCGCGTTTGAAAGAACCGGAATAAACTTGATGTCAATAAAAGCTTGCGTTCGATGTAGCTTACTTGAAAACAACAAACGACAGACGAAACATGCTTGCGAGTGCAGAAATAACAAAACTTTAGATGATAAAGGACTCGTAGAGTATCAAATAAACAATAAAGAGGTCAATAAATCTTTTTCGAAGTAGCGGGGAGTTTGAAAGCTTTCTAAACGTGAACGAAAAGGCGATCGACGATTTGTATTGCTGACATAGTAAATCAAGAAGACATTCAGTATAATAAAATAAATGGTGCTTGTTTTGGAGGGTAACAGTTGAAATTGACACCCCTCGGAAAACCATTGTCAACCTCCGCTGACGCGTCGGTTGACAATGGTTTTCCTTGGGGTGTCAATTTCAACTGTTAACCTCCAAAACAGGCACCATTTATATAATGGTATCCATTAGGTAAGTCAACATCAACTGGAAAATTTGAAAAATAAATATCTTAAATTTAAATAAGATGAATACATATGTATCTAGCGGTTAAAAACATGTAAGCTTTGTTGATCGTACAGGTATTTTTACAGACTGTTCTTGAATTATAAATTGATGTTAAATTCGTCAATAGATTTCGTAGATGTAACATGTACTTACGTGGAAGAATGGATGATTTTTCATATCCGCTCTGAGCAAACGTGTAATCCTCGTCTGTGTATGATGGTCGCACTCTCAGAAGGTTCTTAAAGTTAAATTCAGTTTCTTTTTAGTCATTACAATATCTTTATGTTTATTTTAAAAAAATAATAAAAGAACTGTCCTATTTAGCATATGATATTAATAATTTTCATAACGCGAACATAAATCTCTTACATTTTTCATTTTCAAGTTCCGTCAGCCTTATATTTTAAAAAACAATAAGTCGAGTTTAAGAAATTCAAAAAAATTACCTGGAACTCCTTTCTTAGTTCACTTTCATTGGCTGGCTGAAAACGTGTCATTAGTTCTGCTCTTCTTAAGAATTCAGATTTGGTGAGTACACAGGTTGGAGCTTTGAACATGACATCGAGTGCAAGAAAAATAGTCATGTACTGCTCCTGAAAGCAAGATCAAACCATGTCATGTCAAATCGAAATTCAGGATATTGATAATTTATAAATAACATTTTTTTTTTATATTTTTCCCATATATCTGTTACAAATATTTTAACCAATAAAGGCAAATGCAGTGATTACATTAAAAAAAAAAACACGGTTAAACAGGTACATGTATTAATATATTTACGTGAAATATACATGTATGAATGTCCAGACTTTCTAGATTTCGTATTGACAGGTGTGTATGTGTAAAATCACATATTTTCTTGGGGTCAAAGTTTCGTGTTTTAAGGAAAAATGTTGGTTCGTGGGGATTTGATTTCGTGGATGAAGAACTTTTTAGTAGTTGTGCATATAAAAATTTACATTTCGTGATGGGCATGAATTCATGGGTCTCCTCATACATCGAAAACAACGAAAATCCCCCCCCCCACGAAAATTGGTGATTTCACAGTATTAAAAGATTAGAGGCAAAAAAAAAACCAACAACGAAGAAAACTAAAACACGAACAAACAAACAAACAAAACGTGATACCATTCTTCTTGTTCTTTAACTCACATAGGTTTGAACCATATTCATTCTACTTTCCCTCATTTTCTTCACGTATTCTGCGATGTTGACTTTCCTCTCTGTTTTGCCCACCTTGCTTAAAGCGTCTATAGCGATATAAGTACCAGTACGACCGATTCCAGCACTACAAGGTGTACAATGTAAAGGTGTACAATGTGTTTCAATGAGGAATTCATATGTTTAAATGGGGTTGACTCAGTGTTTTCCAGGATATAAAATCAGAAGTAAAATTAATAAAACGTAACAGAGACGAATGCTTATAGTTCACTATCTACAATATACTAGGACATTTTGTTGACAAACTTTTGATTGAAAGGGTCTCACACATTAAAAAGTGAGTTTGTTTAATATTTAATCATCTTTGTTCATTGAAGGAAAAAAACTCATTTAAACAAAATATAAAATACATTTTTGAAAGCAAAGCACTCAAAGTTTTAAGTATTTCTTCATTTAGAGATAGGGGTTAGCTACATAAGCCTGCTAGCCACTACTCTAAGAACCAAATGGTCGTCCATTTTAAGAGCATTAATTTTTATATGTTATTAATAGGGATGTCAATTTTACTCGGACAGCTTAGTCGAATAGTCGGATGCTTTAGTCGAACGATAGTCGAATATTCGTTTAATTTTAAATATTTTTCAAATCATTTCCAAAGTTTGTCTTTACAGACTAGTTTACAATATTTAACCTACGCTATCACCATTATAAAACGAATATCTGAATTGTAAACATGTACGTAGTACAAAAAAACTGTACATCAATATGGATCCAATGTATTAAATTTCAAAATTAATATTATCTGCACATTTTATCTAAATGCAGGATATCAAACGCTCGAAATTGTCCTTTCTTTACATAACGGTAGAACATGTACCCCAGAATTGGAGCCAATTTCTACGTTTCCGTCAATGATCTTTGACAGGTAAACAATTAAAGCGTATTTCTTATAAAAACAAAGAGAGAGCGAGAGCTTGGGATAAATTTTAATTATGAAATTTCGTGCAAACAATCAATGATTGTATGAAATTAATATCAGAAAAAGAAAACACAGTTTAATTACTCTCATAACTGACCACAATTTACATGTATTTACAATTTTTTAATAGCTGTTTAATCAATATTCTTTCTGAATAGTTGTATCACGTCAGATCTTAGTCTGAATCTTCCATTTAAAATAGTAAGAGGTAGAAAATCATTTAATAAACATGATTGATTTTCTTTCCCAATCTGCTTTTTTTAACAGTTATACCATACCTTTAATAATAAATGAAATGGGCAAATCTAAGTTTATTACCATAAATTCTAAATTACTTTGATGAAACACATTTTTAACGAATAACCGACTAAAGAAACTTTAGTCGATAGTCGGTATGATCGAATGATAGTCGAGTACTCGAATATTCGTTGACATCCCTAGTTATTAATCTACAGGAATGAATAATTTATTTTAGCCTGTATTTTTTACCTGCAGTGTACTACCGTTGGACCTCCATTCTGTTTCTCTCTTGTTCTAGTCACGTGATCATGGAAGACTACAAGAGAGAGCGGTGCCGGAGTCCCGTGATCCGGCCAGGTCGTATAGTGGTATTGTGTTACTATGCGGTATGTTCTCAACTGGATGAAAAAAAATGTAAAAAAGAGTTTTAAAGTTTAATTTTATCTTACGAAAGTCAAAAAAAAATTCTGGAAATCAATATAATCTTTTCTTCAGTTACAAATTACATTGAATACTCATCATGTTGCTACACATTGCATACTAGTATTAGTAAGTATACATGTAATACAACTACTTCAGAATTTTCCCCAGAACAAACCATTGTTGAGAGTATTCTCTTTATTATGCAGTGAACACATTATCTTATATAACTGTTGTGTGAAGGGGATAGCTTCTTATTTAAAGGGAAAAAATCCATGTTCGGTCTGCCTGTGCAAATTTTTTCAAACTTTTCCATATAGTTTTAACCTTTTTATTACTTACTCCCTTACAATTAACTCTAAATCTCCGTATTATATAATTTGCATAACTTTGTTCTTCCTCCGCACGTAGGATCATCTCACCAAATGTACTACTTTTGTTCATATCCGGCCAATATTTGACACATTTTGTCTGAAAAAAAAGCGTTAATTTCAATGAGAACAGTTTAATTAGACGTTTCTTAAAAATTGAATAATTTTGTAAGACTTCAATCAGCAAACTATAAAAATTTGGTTTGAAAATAATGTGTATTGTATTGTATAAACAGTATATAGTTTCATGTTGTGGGGGGCAACACATTCATAATTTATTCCAATTAAAAGTCTAGGTAAACTGCACATAAAAATACCTTGGTGCCCTCCTTTAAGTTGGTGAGCATCACTATCTGTGTCACATTCTCCTGCCAAACCATTTTCCAGAAATCTGACACTGTGTTCTGTCGCGGACCTGTTAGAGGTATATCATGTTTTTTATTAGAAATATTAAAATGCCTTTATGAATACAATTATTGTTGTTTATTTCCTTCAGATAATGTTATGAAATGAAATAAAAAGTAAAACAGAATTCGAATTCAAGAAGCTGAAATAAACACTCATACCTTGTGCCGCAATATACGCATGTGTCTTATCAATACCCTAAAAGCAAGATTTAAAAATACATTATTTGATACATTTGATACAAGAATACGTGAATAAAAATAAATATATCATGAATAAAATTTATGATTTTCTTGTAGACTGTTAAAAAAGAAAGGAAAATATTTATTGACAAGGCGTTTGTTGTTAAACTGTACTGTTTTGAAGATTACGTAATTAACTGTACGTTGTCTTTTATTAGTAACACATCCAAATATAAAACAGATGTGACACACTTTGTAGTGACTTCTATTCCAATTTCAAAGGGATAGATCTAGTCGACATACAAATGAACATAACAATTGTCAATAGACCTCTTTCATAAAACGTTGAACCCGGAACGGTTTTAACGTTTAGTTTTACATTGTCACGTGATACCCGACAAAGCGTCTATAGTTAACATGTCGTCTACAATGTTTACATCCTTGAAAGTGGTAGAACTGCAGGATATTCTGAGAGGAAAAGGGATTTCTGTTTCAAATGTGAAGCGAGAGAACTTGGTAAAGCTATGTGAGGCAGTTATTAAGGGGATTATCTTGTTAGTTTTAAAGGGTATGCAAGGTGAAACACATAGATTAACAAGATAGTTGTTTGTCATTTTAATAAAAATATAAATTAAAGACAATAAAATGCAAATCAAACAATAAAAACGGAATCCAAAGAGATCGTTTTTTGAAAACGAAAGTAGAAAACTAATAAAGCATAGCTGCTGATTTTATCTACCTATAATGAAAAATATTGTAAAGTTTGCCAGTTAAAATATTATTAAAAAATTAAGATGAAACAATCAAGTGTATGTCAGAATTTCTTTTCCCTCCCTTCTCCCATAAGTAATATGTTAGGTAGATCTATGTGCATGACTTAATTAAGGAAATACCCACATGGCACCATCAAGCCTGACAAATTTCAAGACTGTAAAAAAAAATAATTCTGTTTTGGATAGGTGGTATAAATTTCTGTAAATTTAATATCTTATTAAAATTTCTAATTAATTGAAATATAAATAAAAAATGTTTCTAGAAACAGGACTTTACAGTATCAACACCTCATTTATTTTTAGCCTTTGAAAAAAAGGATTTTAAAGTTGTACAATTTTCAATTTTTCACTAAATTCTGTCCTGGTAGAAAAAAAGTTGTTTATATATGTAACTAAATACCCCTTCTTTAGTGAGAGAGGCACCAGTATTTTAGCAAAAATATTTCAATTTTGGAAAGAAAAACATTTTTTGTGGTAAATTAATACTTGAGTTTTATTGATAAGTGATATCAATATTATAAATAAAAAAAATCATTTCATAATCATTTAATTTCACGACAAAATGTCGCGAATTTAAAGCTTTGAAAATTGTCGTCACGCGCTAAATCCCCCATGGGAATTTTCAAAAGTTGGCATGTATGTTTTCTGTTGACCCCTTCAAGATCCAAGGACTTTCTAACGATCTCACAAAATTACCAACCTTTTCCCTGTATGATGTGTTTAATTACTTGTTATATAAAACTGCAAATTATGATCAAAGGAAATTAAAAGCGTACAAATCTTGTGAAGATTATAGACTATTCTTCGATGGGTATGTTGAGAAGTTAGAAATGAAGGAACTTGAAGATGGAGATAATTACCTTATCAAATCCTGCGTGAAACCTACGCAGAAGGACAGGACTTACCTAAATAAAACAGCTTATGATGTTTGGGTGGTTATGTGTAAAAGTGGAAGCGTAAATTGTGCTTACTGCACATGCATTGGAGGGTAAGTAAACTTTTATAAATATAAGTGAGACAGGTACACTGAGTAGGATGTAAGCTGGTTTCAATGAGTGAATGACCACACAAAACACCTGTGACATGTAATTAATTTATTTGCAGAAGTAGGTTCAATGCAGCCTGCATTATACACACATCTATCTATATGTTTAAAAAAAAATCCAAGTACATGTATATATACCACTGCAATTGATTACTTTATTACTTGGAGTAAGGGGGGTGATGTTTTCTTACAAATGACATCAATCTGTTTTTGTAGAGCTGATGGAGGATGTCGCCACATCGGAGCAACCCTGTATGAAATTGAGGCTTTTGATGTAAAGTCAGTCACAGATGGAGATAACTTGTGGGTAAAACGACCACGACATCATGATTGCCCTGTGCCTATAAAGCAACTTAAAATCTTGAAAGCTAGGTACTTGTTCTTTTATGACTCATGTAGAATGTTATGATAAATTTGCAATCTTTTAATTCTTAAAAGTAAACTCTAGGTCTGAATGATTGATTCTTAAATGAACATTTAATTGACACAGAGACTACAATTAGGATACATATTGAGTAATGTGTTAGTATTATATTTTGTCTATTGTTTGTGCTTTACATAATATCATATGTACATGCACTTCAAATATTATTAAGTAAGTTTTATTATGCCATTATAATCAATTGTTAGAAGACTTTAAAAAATATATTGAAAAAAAATGATGATGTACCTACAACAAATCATTTCAAGACTGACACAAATTTCAATTAAGGTATGCAAGTGTGGATTATCACCAGTCTGCTGCTCACAGTTTTGACCCGCGCAGTGTAGATCAGAGACAAACTTACACAGAAATGGAAATCGGTGAAATAGCAAAGAATCTTCGAGAGGTAACCCATTTCCCATAATTATGTTCTGTGTATTTATTTTTTCAGTGTTGTCTTTACATTGTATTTTTATCTGATTTGAAAAACCAATTGAAATTGCCCACCATTGTTATCTAATACAACAATTATAAAGCATCATACAAATGTATAATTAAAGTGCTAATTTTTTGTTTACATTTCATTTGTTATTTAAAACTTTCAATTTACATTTTTTAAATTTCTTCCAGATATCCCCAAATATACAAGCCTTAGATATTCTGGAGGTACAAAAACCAGTGCAGAATGACAAGGGAGATGAAGCTGATCAACAATGTCCTGAATGTTCTGCTTTTACCATGCCAAACATGTTAAAGAAAATAGCATCTTGTAATGCTAATGAATTCCATAACTCTGAGAATTTATGTACTCTTTCCAATGATAATATTTCTCACATTGAAACATGCACAAGTGAGCAATCCGACTGTAAGATTTGGCATGAGCTGAGGAAAGGCAGATTGACTGCATCTAATTTTAGTAAAGTCTGCAAAGCAGTTGATTCTAACAAATGTCCACCTTCACTTCTAAAGACTATTTTAGGTGAATATGGAGAAATTTCAGCTCCATCATTGGTGTGGGGTAAAAAGAAAGAAAAAGCAGCTCTTCAACATTACATGAGAGTATGTCATAATTAAGTCACATGTACATCCCCTTCTGTAACATAAAGGCTTAAGAATACATCCAACCATGAATTTCATTGGTTGTTCTATTGATGGTCTTTGTACATGTAAATGCCATGATAGCACTATTATTGAGGTTAAATGTCCTTTTACACACAGAGACGATGAACCAAGGAATGTTTGTCTTAAAAAAGGCTGTGTTATTAATGAGAGAGGTGAGATGGTTGTTTCTGAAAACTCAGAATACTATCATCAGATGCAAGGGCAGATGAGTATATATGGTATACATCAATCTAATCTTATACTTTATACAAAGAAAGGAATATGTGTTGCTCATGCTGATTTTAATCCAGATTTCTTCCAGAAGATGCTCAGCAAACTTGAATCATTTTTTAAACAACATGTGATTAAATCTTTAATGCAACAGTAACTGCTTATGTACCTGCATTATAAATTAGGCAAAAAAAGCTGCGTTTACTTATTTACTACAGAATATATGTAACTACTGTACTGTTACCTCCTGAAAAAATGGAGTTGGTAGGCAGAATTAAGATTGTGTTATTGGTGAAAAATGCTTTGTCATATAAGATATATTTCAGTATTTCACTTTTTTGTAAAATTAAGCTAATCGGATGATTTCCTCTGAAAGGAGGACTAATCAGATCCCTGTATGACAGTTACATGTAGCATTAAAATGTAAAATTATCAAAGCATTGTTATTATTTTGTCATTTATTATTCAAATGTATGTGCTATACTGATTTACACACATAAGATTTACTTCACAAGTTGACAGTCAAGGTTGCATAACATTGCACATACTTTTACAATTTGACTGTACAAAGGCTTCATCTGGAGAGTCATAACACCTTGCAAAATTGCATAGTTTTTCAAACGTCCAATTGCTCATTCTACATGGATTCGAGCTCGAGCAATCCTTCTCGTTTTAGTGGTGGCATTGCTACCCATCTGTCTTCCAAAAGAAAATGGGGGAATGTTTAGTGTTGCACCTTTTAATGCTAGATCGCCTCTTATGAGAAAGCCACGGTCTGCCATAATGTCATCACCAAACTCGATATTATCCAAAAAGCCAGATTCTTGTACTATTTTCTTGTCAGAAATACTACCAGTGTACAAATCAGATACAAAACAAAATGAACCCGATGGAGTTATTGTTACTAAACACTTGAAGGTATTATGGTGTTTGTAAGATGAATATGTTATTCTCTGAGCAGATGGAGGACTGGGTTTTTGCACAAAGAATTCAGTGCAGTCAATAATGCATCTTGTTTTTTTGAAATGTTTAAAGCATTTGGGCAAATTTTCCAAGATTTGTTCTTTGGATGGCCATTTGATGAGAAAGCAAAGGTCAATGCACATGAGACACATCCATGTAGTAAATATTCGGCTTACTGAACTGTCAGAAATGGCAAACATATATATCACTGAGTGATTTGGTGTCAAATCCTCTTCGTAGTCGCAACAAGGTTAGAGTGAATTCTTCTCTCAATGAAAGCAAGCGTTTAGGTCCTCTTCTTGGAGTCTGTTAACATGCAAGTAATAAATAGAATCATTATTGTGGCTTTTTTGTGTTGGTATTAATTAATTGTGTATTTTTTATAGACATTACAGGTTTTTTAAAATTGATGCACATTAGATTCACAGAAAATTTGTTTGGGTCATAATGATAAGAAGAGTAATGACATTGTATTACCTTGGAATCCTGTCGCTCATTTGTTTCTGTGCTATTCCAGTACACCATTGAGGATGCCTTAATCTTAAGTACATTGAAGATGATAGTAAAAACTGCCAATGTTATACCTGTATGGATCAAGGATAAATACATTATTTATTTATTAGAATGTGATTAACAAGGGCATCTGAGAACAACTAGCACTGGTCTTAAATGATAGTGATTACATGTACTATATAATTATATAAAGTATGATACAAAGTTTATTAAATGTAACATGATGAGATTTCAAATAATTATAGGTATGTACAAAGTCAGAAATATATTTAAAATGCATATTAGATATACTAATTTTCAGCCAAACCTACTATCTCTCTTCCATTTAAAATGATATGTCTGAGAATTTTTTAATTCAATCAAAAGTAGTACATTGTAATTATCTTTACACATGAAACAAAGTTCATTAACCTGTGTAAAATTTGCAGGACATGTCATTTTTATATACATCTTCCATCAGAAGGCGTCTCTTTGTGTTCCCCCTATCCTGGGATTCCTCATTGCTTGACACTCCCTCTATGTCCGGGTTGGTCTGGGTGGCAACATTAACCATTTGCACAGGTTTAGCATATAAGTGGTCATCAACTGAAATGTTGGAAATTGAAGTTACAAGTTAGATCAGCTCGCAATAATTTTTTTGTGATGCTGATATTAAAAATTGCTCTCCTCTTAATCTTTTGCATTTTCTAAAAAAAATTGTGATCCACTCCCACTTGTTATATAGTCTCAAAGAAAATAGCCTGGAAGAAAAAGAACAGCAGCTGTTTTGTTTGAATATTAAATGACATTTTTACACACCAGAGTGCGAGTTGAAAAGCCGATACATTCTATTTTCAAATTCCTATGGAACCTTTAGAAATCCAGTCAGTATTTGAAAAGTATGTTTTTTAGACTAAAAATAACTTTGGGTTTTTCCATTTCATTGTAAGTGTTTGCATGTCGTGCATTCTTTCTCAGTGAAATGCGTTTATCTATGGGTCATTGGGATATATACAGATCTTCCACTCAAATTTTGTAACCTTAATATTTTTACGGTAATGTTTTGAAATTTAGCTTAAATTGGTCTATTTACACTTGTAGTTACACATAATTATGATCAATCTAGATTTCACTCTGCGAATGTTTCATGTTTATCTCATATGAGTTTATTTGAATTTGAATTATATTTTACCTTCTGTGAGCTGCTGCTGGGTTGAGACTTTTTCACTGATTTCTTCCTCTTCGACGGTAACAAACAAGGAGGCCTCTGGCACGAGGTGTGGTACAACTCCATCCTTGCCGAGATTGGCATTCGTCTGTTTATCTCCTGGTGTGAAGGTGTGCTTTCTTGTCGCACGTTTTCTACCTTTCAAAATAACTCTATTTGAATTGGCATTTAATGGATAGGGATGCAACTCGGTAGGGCGACCATCAATAAAATGTTTGCTACATACATATGTATGTTTGTTTACATTGTCAACGGTAAAAAACTTTCTTCCGCATGCCTTTACCCAAAGTTTGGTGTCGTCTAATCGTGTTTTAGGCTTTGGTACTGGGAAAAATTCCACTCCTTTCATGTATTCTTTATGCATGTACCTATTATCGCTGTTACATGTGCCCCAAGAACAGCGTTTCACCATTTTGGTTTCAAAATAGACCGCCTTCGAATGTCGGGTGTCACATGACTTTGTCGCTTGCGCGCTCGCAAAAACGCTTATATCATTGAAAATATGAAAGTGGCCTATTTATTGAATTTCATCGATATCTGTTAATATCAAATTGGATGTCACAGCTAGTATTCTCTTCTTCTCTGGTAGAAGTTGTTGAACAGTATTTCAACCACATCCTAATTCATAACTGATTAAATATAAATAAACACTTTATGCAAGGAAGCATTCCCATAAGTATTATTTCCGTCCGTCTCGCAAAACGGGATTTTCCTCCATTTTGAAAAAAAGTAAAATATTAGTGCAACAGATACTTTGAACAGACTGAATTTCATACTGGTAAAGAAGAAATAAAAAAAAAATAGTTTACGCTCAAGAAAACATAATCTACTTTTTGCGTCTGCAATTTAAGCAATGTAAAAATGTTTGGAAATGTAAAACTGTCTTCCCATAACTTGAATGACAGTACATTTAAACACCCAATTCTATGTTAACGCCCCCAAAATCTACCTGATTCAAGATCAATAATTTACCGCCTGTCAATCATTAAAAAAACAATAGCTTCTGATTTGATTGACAGGCCAGCTACCCGTGCTACCTGATAGTCTGAGTTTGTGTCCTTTGAAAACGATTGCCTGGTCACGCGTCAAACACTTTCATGTAGCCGCCTTGTATACACGGGGGTTAAAAAAAAGAATCTTGGTAAAATTTTATTTTAAAAACAATTGAGATACTGAGTAGACAAATAAAACATGACTTCATAAAATATTTGCTTTTAATCTCAACGGCTATATTGTATTTTAAGCGATATGTCGTCCAAGATACCTGCTCTGTAGAATTTAGACCAGTCTGTGCACAGAAACGCTATTTGCCAATTAAAATTGGAATATGAAAAATAGGAAAAGATATTTAGTACAAACGGCACGGATAAAAAAAAAATCCTTTATCCGATGTTTTACCTACTTATATTTGAATACAATCTATACCATGTTCCGTTGTAAAGTTCTGAAATGTCAGAAACAGCTGTCGAGTTTCGAGATTGTAAATTTTAGTTCGAATTTCCTAACATCTGTCAATACCCAATATTCGAAATTAAAAATGAATATATATATATATACAGCCAAAGATCAATTCTTAAAAGTAATAAAAAAAAAATATCTCGCAAACAATAAAAAATTTTAATCACACGTACGAACACCCGGAAATGGTGAATATTTTCGACACTATTGTTGATCAGAACGTAGGCAATATTCTTATCGCGGTACGGTACATTGTATATGTTCACACGACGGATAGGCCTACCTATGAATGGAATATTTTATAATTTTTATTTTTAAATTTTGATATTTACACAAGTTTAATTTAAAAAAGATATGTTTACTTTGTAGTTTTACTCTGTGTTCTTTTCTTTAATTTGTCATTTTTTTAAATATAAAAACGATATTTCTTTATATTTTTTCTTCATTAGATATCGCTGAAAGTATTTATAAATAAATTTTATATTGAAATATTTCAATTATTTCAAGTAGTTTCACTCAAATTTAGACACGAAACACGGAATGTTGACCCTGATACCAGACACAGACTTCCTGTGTAATGCTACGTGTATGTAGATTTTTGACATCTTGGGTATTGGGGGTCTCCAGGTAAATAACACCACTGTTACTTGGACCACTCCCCCTCCTCAGGTAACCGTACGGTAAAAAAGTTGGGTCTTTAAATTTACTTCTGTCAAATTACTCACATCAATATAATTGGCGTTGATGTAATCCGACTGGCTGTTGGACAATTTGACTCTGGAATGGTCATCTGAAAATGTTTTAAAATGAACTCGCTGACCCTTATATATTACTGTAATGACTTATATCAACATTGTATATTTTACAATAAACGTACATGGAAATGTAATCTTGTATCTGTTTTTAGGTAAGTTTCCTGGTTTTTTCCCAGCGCTGCAAGGATGTTTCTCACCATAAGGCATAGTCTAGTTTTTGAAAGAAGATGATAATTTATTAGTGTGAAGTTATATCATCATTTTACTTACGTAATCAAACAAGCCTTATAATATGTATATTTATTTCTTTGAGTAAATACACGTATATACTTATATATATAAAAAAATTCAAACCGCATACTCCCTTTTGAAACCATCATTTTCATGCCTTTGCTTTTCTTTAATAACACGCTCTAACTGGTCAACTTTTATGTCTGGGATGGCTTCGTCATTAACGTAGAGATCTCCGTATGGGTTTTCTTCGTGTTTTTTCTCATCGTTGTCAACATCTTCGTCACGCTCGTTTTGTCTTGTTTTCATTTCGAGGCCTTGTTTAGTTGAATCCTTGTTTTCTTTTAATTTTGAAAATCCTTCCATGTTCTCATAGATATTTGAGAACCCCGATTTTGAAGTAGCTTCAATGATGAAATTTTTTATATATCTTGTATGCATTTATTTGAATAACTATGTTTGTTAAAACTGAAATAGAAAATATACTTTACAATTCAGGACAGTATTTCTTTTTCTTTATTTCAGCTTTAGAATATTTAATGCAAAGTGTATCAGTAAATAAATAAGTTTTTTGATATACATATTTATTTCTTGATAAACCATAACTTAAAGACATTTAAATAGGAGTATTTATCCCATCTTTAAAAAAAATAATTTTAGGGTTATCTTACAATTAACGTTGGAGATGTTTGTTGCTGTGTATCTGGCCCTTTTCCCTTTTTGATCATTTCTTAATGTTCGAGATCTGCAAAGTATATATATTTCACATATTACCTCATGTAACGTTGTCTAAATATTTATAATGCAAAAATAGCATTGTTTATTATTTGTATGACATAAATGAAAGGAGTGCAAACGTAAAGTCCTAGCGAAAAATATCTTTTGTGATAAGTTACAACTAGGGATGTCAACGAATATTCGAGTACTCGACTATCGTTCGATCATACCGACTATCGACTAAAGTTTCTTTAGTCGGTTATTCGTTAAAAATGTGTTTCATCAAAGTAATTTAGAATTTATGGTAATAAACTTAGATTTGCCCATTTCATTTATTATTAAAGGTATGGTATAACTGTTAAAAAAGCAGATTGGGAAAGAAAATCAATCATGTTTATTAAATGATTTTCTTCCTCTTACTATTTTAAATGGAAGATTCAGACTAAGATCTGACGTGATACAACTATTCAGAAAGAATATTGATTAAACAGCTATTAAAAAATTGTAAATACATGTAAATTGTGGTCAGTTATGAGAGTAATTAAACTGTGTTTTCTTTTTCTGATATTAATTTCATACAATCATTGATTGTTTGCACAAAATTTCATAATTAAAATTTATCCCAAGCTCTCGCTCTCTCTTTGTTTTTATAAGAGGCATGCTTTAATTGTTTACCTGTCAAAGATCATTGACGGACACGTAGAAATTGGCTCCAATTCTGGGGTACATGTTCTACCGTTATGTAAAGAAAGGACAATTTCGGGCGTTTGATATCCTGCATTTAGATAAAATGTGAAGATAATATTAATTTTGAAATTTAATACATTGGATCCATATTGATGTACAGTTTTTTTGTACTACGTACATGTTTACAATTCAGATATTCGTTTTATAATGGTGATAGCGTAGGTTAAATATTGTAAACTAGTCTGTAAAGACAAACTTTGGAAATGATTTGAAAAAATATTTAAAATTAAACGAATATTCGACTATCGTTCGACTAAAGCATCCGACTATTCGACTAAGCTGTCCGAGTAAAATTGACATCCCTAGTTACAACTTCAACTCGCCTCCTTTATTACCTGCATTTATAACATTGCAAGATACGTAAGAGCATGCTCTATGCACGGACAAGATTTTAAAACCGGGGAAAACTATTGATGAACAGAAACATAAACATGTCAATAGTTTTGTTTTTAAAAAAACTGGACAAGAACACTGTTCATGAAATCTTTGTAGATTTCAGTAAAACACATCTACATTATGATTTTTTTTTTACTTTTGATCTTGATTACTGTTCGTTATCTCCGTATGTTTCAGTAAGAATTAAAAAAAAATATAGCATTTTGAGAATTTTCATGTTTTTTATTTGATATTAATATTTCGAATTCAATATACTTTAATACTGTTCATTTTTTATATTTACCTTCTACGAAATATGACAGAAACTGTGACAATAACTAGAATAACTACAGCCGCGATCACTCCTCCTGCTATGGGAAGCGTTGAAGGGCTTTCGTCTGTTGATTTTAAAGCCTACAATGTTTCACAAATAAAGTCGAAATATCATTTATTCCAATTATTTCTGTCTTCAAAAAGACTGCTTACGGATTGTTTCTCAAGTAATGTATTCCCAAACCTTTGTCTGTAAGCACTTTCCGACATCATGAGAACATATTTGATCGACACAGTTGAGGCTACAATTCTTCAAACAATTCTCACCCCACTTGGTTTTTCCACATTCTACAATAGTTCATTTTACCATTGCAATAAAGCTAAAAGGTAATAAACTCCATACAAACGGAAGAAAACATATTGCGTATATTTCCTTTGTAACGTCATTCTTACTTATCAAATAAGACGTCATATAGCATTGATTGGTATAGTAAATTTAATTACTGAATATCATTATTAAGATGCTCTTTATATATCTTAATACAAATATATGGGAAAAATTGTTTTACCTTTTTTACATAGCGCCCCTTCATATCCAGAGGAACATCCGAGAAAACAGGAACCGTTGGCATGGTAACAGTTGGTATCATTGATACAATGGCCACAAGTATGACTACAGTTGTAACCATACGATCCACGATCACATTCTATAGAAAGATTCAATGAGATTACACAATGTTGTCTGAGAGTTCATTTTTCTCATACAAAGCAACCTTTTTGTGTCCAGAGGACACACCAGAGAAGCAGAAACCACCACAGTGGGCACAGTCGGTATTTTGATACAACCGCAAAAGTACGAAGAAAATTACATGTATAACCGTTTATACCGATTTTGCATTCTGAAAAAATCATACTGTGTGTCATTGGAATATATAACCTTTTTTTTTTTACTCTTTTAGAAATTCTTTAAGAAATTCTGTCTATAAATCTCATTACCATATATATAATGATAAAGTAATTAAATATTATTCCTAAGATTACATCAACAAAAAAAATCTGCCTGCTGTGGCCGATCTCCACTTGATTCTCTAATTGGGATTTAATCCCGCGACGGAGGTAAACACCCTTGTTCCGCTACTCTATATTAAACCTTTTAACTTAAAGCCATGCTTTCGACTTTAATCAAACTTTTTATCACAATGTCATACCTTTTGAGCAAGTCAAACCCTTGAAGCCATTATCACAACCTCCTAAACAAGAGCCATTTATGTGATGACATTGTGTATTATTAATGCAATTCCCACACTCTTGGCTACAATTCACACCATATTTCCTTCCATTGCATTCTGAAAGAAAAAAATCTATAAATATATTCATTTCGGACTCATTGAACATTAGTTTTCCAGATTAACACGCTAGGCAAGCCTTTAATAAAACACTTACGTGGACTGAAATTCCATAATGTGAAAGAATCAAAATTTTCAAATGTGGTGTATGATTTTGTTTTCAAAATTATTTGTTTTACGATTTTGGCATAAAGCACCAAACAGTAATAATTAGTTAAGGCGCGTCTAATATTATTTCTAATTATTTCAAATTGAACGTAACATAAACTATATATAACCTGTAGAACAGGCCAATCCTTTGTATCCAATCGAACACCCTTGTAAACAGGTACCATTAACATGATGACACTGTGTATCATTAAAACAATTTCCACAGGTTTGATTGCAGTTCATACCGTACATTCCACCATCACATTCTAAGAGAAGCATATACATTTTGGTTGTCCTTCTTACCAAATTTCAACTTTGTATATTATAATGCTAGTGTCTGTAAATCTGCGAAAAACTGTCAATATGATAAGGCTTTGAAAATTTAATGATTTTTTTTCAAGATTGTCCATTTTGACATGATCTAGTGTATAAAAAATAATTTATATAAAAATAACCCATATACTGAATTCAGTAAAAAGAATTAGCATATATCAAAAGACCCTAAATATTACCCAAGGATGCATCGATATAAATTTGTATATTTTCGTTACTTAGGTTTTAATAATATCTCTTTTATATCTACAATTTGTAAATCTTTCTTATAAATGAAGTAAAAGGTTACTCACTACTTTGAAATATTAAAATCCTTACCCTGTGAGCATAAAGACCCTTTGTATCCCGTAGAACACCCGTCTACACATGATCCGTTGATGTGGTGACACTGTGTACCATTCAGACACTGACCACAACTCTGACTGCAGTTAACACCGTACATCCCACCGTCACATTCTTTAAAAAAAATTTTTTTCTTAAGTTTAAGTTTTTATGTTTCAATGTGAACAATATACCATTAGCGAAATAAAAAAGTGAAACTGGGTTACTGTGTAGGAGTTTTAACGATATAAACGTACATTTAGTCTAATAGGGAAGCGCCAGGGACAAGCGACTTTACTTCTTTATAAGCCTTGTTTGTTCTATCCCTTAAGGGCGTGTTCCCGTTTTGCACACATTTGACAATTAGGTATAGAAGAAATGTGTGAAGTGTGTTTTGATAGCAATTATAGTCTGATTTCTGGTTTTGATTTACATGGATTTGCCTGTGAATATCTGATTTAGCTTAATGTATTCTTAAGAGCTTTAATACAATTTTATAAGCATTTTATTTAAACTAAATTCTATAAATATTTATGGGAAAGTTTTTATCTTACTGAATAAAGTATTAATATTTATTTAATATTATTTATTGATTAAGTCCATTTTTTAAAAAAAAAAGATTACTTTTCAATCTTGATACAATTCTAAATGAATTACAGATATAACAAACAATAAAGAAAATAGAGAATAAAAATTAATTTGAAAATAATGCCCAAGCCAAGAAACTGTTAAGATCATCAGATAGTTATAAGATCAAAGTGACGATCGAGTGTATCACTTGTATTATACTCATGAAATAAATCAATGTGCCAATTGTATTATACTCAATAAATAAATATCAAATACATTAACTTATTTATTCTCTTATTTTTTCACTATAAGTTCACCTTTCACATACATGTACTTACTAAATATGGTATAGACTATAGCAATTAAGTAATTATCTCACCTGGTCAAACTCCCGTTTTTCACACATTTTTTAATTACCTGTAATTCAAATGTGTGCAAAACAGGGACAAACCCCCTTAAGATTACTATGTATTCTGTTTCAAAACAAGAGGCCCACGGGCCTTATAGGTCACCTGAGCATCATGCAACAACTTTCAAATGATTGAATTTGGTTCATGTTTCAAGCTAGATGCTATGGCATTTACAATTCTAAAAAAGGCACCATTGCTAATCATAACTTTACACTTAGCAATTGTTTAGTTTGTTTACTTAATATCCATAAGCAGGGCAGGGGAACAAAATATGCATTTCAACTAACCAGTAATATTCAGCAATAATCATAAGTGCCCCTATCACACTTGAATCCCTGGCCCTAGGTATACACTTTGCAAAATTTTTGAAGAGGCACACTTGCTTATCAATAATCTTTGATTAATAATACGGAGCAGATATCAAACAATTCATTTTCAGTATATAAGAAGAGCCCCCCCCCCTTCGGTATCCCTGACCCAGGGGCCTTGCAATTTACAATTTACAATTCTGGAAGAAGAGCCCTTGCACATCATAACTATATAGGTAGTACATGTACATCTTTTTATTTCCCAGGAGTAGAGAAAAAGATTTTCATAGATTAAATGTATTTTAATTATATAATCATTATAGAGCCACTCCGAAAACCATAACCCCTGACCATTGGGCCAAAAAATTTACGATTTTGGTAGAAGCATTCTTTTCCATCATAACTATGTACTAAGATAGTTTATTTAATACCTCGGAGCAGGTAAGAAGATTTTCAAAGAAATAATGTATTTTCACTTTATAATCAATAGAGCCGCACCCTAACCTCTGACCCTGGGGCCATAAAATTCGAAATTTTGGAAGAGGCACTCTTGCTCATGATAACTTTTTACTTAGTTGGTTTATTTAATACAGAAGAAGAGAGAAGAAGATTTTTAAAGAATAAATGCATTTTCACTATAAAATCAACAGAGCCCCACCCTAACTCCAGAACCCCTGACCCTGGGGCCATAAAATTCATAATTTTGGTAGAGGCACTCTTGCTCATTGTAATTATGTACAATACCTTTAATACTCTTTAATATCTAAGAGTAGAGAAGAAGATTTTCAAAGAAATATTGCATTTTGATTATATAATCAATAGAGCCCCACCCTAACACCAGAGCCCCTGACCCTGGGGCCTTGAATTTCACAACTTTGGTAGAGGCACTCTTGCTCATCATAACTATGTACTTAATTAGTTTATTTAATACTCAGGAACAGAGAGGAAGATTTTCAAAGAAATATTGCATTTTCACTATATACTCAATAGAGCCCCGGCCGTCCTAATACCAGAACCCGTGACCCTGGGGCCATGAATTTCACATTTTGGTTGAGGACTCAATGCTGATTTCAATCATACCAACAGTTTGACTGCTTGATGTCCAGGAGTAAAGAAGAAGATTTTTAAAGATTGCACCAATTTTAGTGGTTTTGGCACCACCACCTAGGCCCCAAGTGGGCAGGTACAGTGAAATTCATAATATTTGTGTCCCTTTACCCACAGATGCTATATGCCAAAATTGGTTGAAATTGGTTCAGTGGTTTCAGAGAAGAAGCTGAAAGTGTTTAAATGTAAACGCACAACGAACGACGCACGACGAACGACGACGGACAAAAACGGATAGCAATAGGTCACCTGAGTTTACTCAGGTGACCTAAAAATCTAAGTAATATTTTTACGCTATGTATTTATTGATCATGAAGTCGGAAATAAAAGGATTTCGAATGAAAGGAAAAAAAGGTAATATGCTAAGCAGTGAACGGAAAATCTTGATGAATTTCTTTTTGTTATTGCTGGATATCCTTCTGCATCATATACTTTACAAATTCTATACCTGCTATTTTCTCTGAATTAAAAGAAATGATGATAGAGGGTGTCTTACGCATATTACAGGTCAATCCTTTGTATCCAGTTGAACACCCCTGTAAACATGTACCATTAACATGGTGGCACTGTGTATCATTAAGACAATTTCCACAGGTTTGATTGCAGTTCATACCGTACATGCCACCATCACATTCTAAGCAAAAAAAAATGAGGAAATAAATGATAAGAAATCATTTAAGGTCTTTTGATATTGTTAAGTTATGTATAATCTTATAAGTATCAAGTAGTTTTAAAAACATTGATTTGAAGTTTTACAGTAACATAATTTTAGATACGTTCTTTTAAAGTAGTGCAATTGCTACTCTTGGAGTTATCTTTGCAGGAATTATTATAGCAAAAAAAGTTGCATTTGAATTTTATTTGTATTTTTTATGAAAAAATAGAAGATAGTGATGACCTTTTACTTTCGATTTGCTTTTGAATATGTTACAGTGTATAAATTTATCATGCCTGCTATAGGCAATTAATTAGAAATAACAAAAAAATAATTAATATTTATCACCACTGATACAGAAAAATCCCTTGTATCCGGGTGAACATCCTGTCAAGCAAGTTCCATTGATATGATGACATTGCGAGCCGTCACGACAGTGACCACAGGTCTTGTTGCAGTTCAAGCCATATCTTCCACCGTCACATTCTTTAAATTAAAACAATACCAATCATGTATTAAAAAAATGTTAACTTGCCCTCTCCTAGCTTGGGAAAAAAATCAAAAACATTTAGGTATGTAGGAGATTCTTTTTTTTACTCTAAAATGCAAACATGAAGCTAACAATAAAATAGTTGAAACTTAGACAAGATCACGGAAATGAATTTTTTTTTAAATCCTGGAAGTTAAAACAAGGTTTTTAACCGAGACATTTAACTCGGTTGAAATAGGACACACGTTTAAAAGATAACCATTTTTTTTATTACTTCGCTTTTCCTACTTGTATCTGTGCTTTCTCAAAAACTTGCTAAACAACAAAATTAAAACAAATCTTTTACCAAAATGCTTGACAATAGATTGAAAAATGTTCGTCAATTCAAAAAAATATTCGAGATTTCTGAGAAGTGTCAAGTGAAGTAATTAAAAAATGAGTATACTTAAGTTAGAATGAATATAAATGTCAACAATTCAAACATCATCAAAGGATACAATTTGAAAACTATTCTGTCTGTTTTGATTGCATCATTTCAAAATTTAGTAAAATATATCAATCCAAACCATCTTTTAAAAACTTTTTGGTTGCCTCTTCTTAACGACTGACCAAAAATGGATAGATTTTTTAACATTTACGGGCACGTTATTTTTTTGTTTTTATTCCTCATATTCCGTCAAGAAATTTGTTGAACATTTCTGGAGAAAAGATTTTCCCCCACCTAACAACCAAACATTTTTACCCTGAGTCAAGAGAGGGTAAGCATACATTATTTCAATGTTGGCCCCATGTATACATTTTTCGTCTTTAGCAAGTGTACCAAATACTTCGTATTCATAATTCTTACTTTTCTTACAAAGGGGACCCTCGTATCCTGCAGAACATGCTTTTAGACAGGAACCATTGATATGATGACACACTATGTTGTCAAGACAATGACCACAAGTCTCCCTACAGTCGTCGCCAAAAAATCCACTGTCACATCCTGAAAGATATATAATCAGGTTGGGGGGAAACGTAAATTCCGCTATAACAGTGGTATCTCGCTATTATAGTGAAATTACGCTATATTTCCTACCGTAGATACCCTCAATTTCGTCCGATACCATGCAAGGTGTTTGAACCGCAAGTCATTGTGGGTATTATAATGATCAAAAACTATCATGCTTGCATGTTTTGAATTTTAATAAATTTTCTACCGTTGCGTTTAATAATGCGAACACTCTTTTTTTAACGGAAGTTGCATTTTTAATATAGCAACCGATGATTACAGTGTATTTAAGCCTGTGTTTGAATCTCTTTATTCCTCATTAAAGTGCACAAATTGATGCTTGTTACAATTGTCAACTCGGACTGGAAAGAGTTTTTGAAATTAAACAAGAAAAAGGCTATTTCTGTCTGCATGGTTACGGGTATGGAGGCCCGTTATGGTAAACGTAAAGACCCATTATTATCGGTCGCCACTGCTGCGGCTGATCTTCTTGTGGTTGTGTTAGATAGTGCACATGGAAAATGAGAAGTAATTTTTGTAATAGTTCAGTAAAATAATTCTTCATTGACAACATCTAGAAAATAATAAGTAAAATTTGCTTTAAACTAAATATTAATATTAATTGTTGTTATAATGTTTCAATTTCATTGTCATTTCTCATCAAGATATTTGATAATTTTGACTATATAAAAAGAGTTTACAAAAGGTGCTCTATAGATATAAAAGGAAATTATGATTTTCCGGATAGTAATGACGAGGTTCATAGTGCATGGTTAAAAAAATTGAAAAACTCTTCAACTGGTAAAAAATGTTTTGAATATGTTACAGCTGCGAATGATACAAGGATACTTTTGTTTCTACATTTTGCAAAGCTCCTTGGAGCATAGGCTATTCCGCAGAAACCAAGGGCATTATCACGTGATAAAGATCCAATGTGCACGGGTTCGGTCTTTTTAATTTTTGACTGTCTTCAAAGCAATATGCATAAATAATTGGAAAAAAAAATAAGTAAATAGAGATTTTAATGCATTTGCTCATCAGATGGACTCATCGATGTAATTAAATCAATGATGAATAATATTAAGAATTTATTGAAGATGAAAATATATAAAGATTCTAGTTCAGCTTTGAATATCTTGTGCTTTCATTGCATGGATATCATTTGAAAATTGTGAAAGTACTTTTTTTAACTAATGCTAAATTGTTTGCGACCGACTTAATGCTTTGCGTCAATTTTTAATTGTTAAAAATTTGAATTGAGTCAATGATATTTTAGACACTTTTTCCTGAATATTGAGCAGTGACAATTGGTTATTTGATGTTTTCTTGTGGTTTAAACAACAACATTTTGGTATAAATCTAGAAGTATGAAAAATTGATACTTTTAGTGCGATTTTTTGCGATATACTTTCATTTCATATGAATATAATTAGATTTATATATTTTTCGAATAACAAGAAAAAAAACCTATAGCTATTTCCCACAGATTTTAAAGTTAAATCGTTCACGTTCAAATACATGTACAAGAAAGAATTGATTTAATTGATCAAACTTTTGAATTTCAACTACTGGAAAAATTATAATGTAGAAAATATATTGTTAAACAGTAAATCAATGGAACCTGTGCCGTCTTGTAATCCGGAATTTTTTCTTCCGGCATGCCTTGGTTTCCTTTTTTGTTTGTATTTGTTATTTCCGTGCGTGTTGCACGAGATTTTTTCTGTCACTCGTCGCTTTACTTAGTACATGAACAGTCATACTGTTGTTACAGTTGTTTTCTCTGCCCACAATGTAAGTATTTTTTATATTTAACTTCTTACAGTTATTTGTATAATGCTTATCTATTTTCGGCAAGGTATTTCTTTCTAATGTTTGTGAATTTACAAAGCTGTTAACTTTTACCGGGAATTTTGAGTGGCTAAATTTTTCATGTTTTGTCAATGTATGCAGATATTTGTAAAGTACTGATAATTTTACACAGTTCTGTGTCATATTTATTGAGCAAAGGTATTTTTCAGATTTTCCATTAATTTTCTCAACTTTGAGCATTGTACATCACTCTTATTATTGTTTTTGTCTATTGTAGCTTTTCACCGTTTCGTGTCGTTTCGTTTCCTGTTTGTTTCAATAAATGATGAAAAACGGTTAACTAGCTGTGTTTAATAATGGAGGCAGCATAGCACCCTATCATTTAAATACGCTTTAAAAATATACAAATATTAAAAATGAAAAATGTAAAGTTATGTTTCTTTCCACTTATGATAAAATCTCTATATTTATTTCTAAGTCTGTGATTCTGAGATGATCAAGAAAAAATTGTGAATGTTTCTCATGTATTTGATATAAAACACCAATTTTTGTTCAAACCTCAAGTAGTAATACACCAGTCTGTGAATGAAATTACATGAAATTTTAAGGCAGTATGAAAACTTTTTTGTTAAATCATACATTCCTATGTGCAATATGTTATTGTTTAAAGATAAAAATATGAAATAAAAAAACTCAGTACATTTAAAAAAAAAAGGTAAATTGTTCTTGCATAAGTGCATAAACATAAAGCGTTAATAAATAAGATACGTTTGCGCGGAGTTGAAATGATTGTCAATTCATAATTATTTGAACATGTGTTAAAATAAGGTTACAGGCACCAGGGGCGTAGCAACAGGGGCCTGCCCCCCCCCCACTTTTTTCCCCAACTTACTTATACTGTAGGAACATGTGTTAAAATAAGGTTACAGGCACCAGGGGCGTAGCAACAGGGGCCTGCCCCCCCCCCCACTTTTTTCCCCAACTTACTTATACTGTAGGAAATGTTAATTGAAAACCTGGTTGCCCCCCCCCCCCCCCACTTTTAGACTTTTAGTAATGTACCGAAAATGTAGTATTAGAATTGGTACTAAAAGTAGTTGACACTGAGAGAAAGTTAACCTACCGCAAGTTAACCGAGTTGACAATTGTAACAAGCATCAATTTTTGCAGTTTAATGATGAATAAAGATTCAAACACAGGCTTAAATACACTGTAATCATCGATTGCTATGTTAAAAATGCAGCTTCCGTTAAAAAAAGAGTGTTCGCATTATTAAACGCAACGGTAGAAAATTTATTAAAATTCAAAACATGCAAGCATGACAGTTTTTGATCATTCTAATACCCACCATGACTTGCAGTTCAAACACCTTGCATGGTATCGGATGAAATTGAGGGTATCTATAGCTACGGTAGGATTATAGCGTAATTTCACTGTAATAGTGAGATACCACTATTATAGCGGAATTTACGTTTCCCCCCAACCTGATAATATTGATTTTTTGATGATCAAATCCAAAACAGGTCTTGAAATAATCTTATAATGACTTATCACCTGAGTTTAATTTATTTATTCAATCTATATTCCTAACAGTGCAATGACATCAGTTGTTGGTGTAGTTTTTCTAAAACTATATGTAACTTGAGGGAGTCAGCTTGGATTTTATTGTGTGAAACCTTAGAGAGAAATCCTTATATTTAAACAATTGATAACTTACATTGATTTCATTCTAATGCCAAGTTTGGAAAAAATCAACCGCCTAGGTATTTTTAAGGGGCATCTTTAAATAGAGTTATATTTACTTTAGGATTATATAAGGAAAGTCCAATTCGTCGCTCTTTAAAGCAAATTATACAAAAGTTATAATATACATTTTGCTCAAACTATAATATGTGATATATATTATATGTAAAAAAAGAAATTTTACTGTTTTGTTTCCAAAGGGGCCTCTCAAAATGCAAATGATTAACTAATTTCCCCGTACTCATATATTCCTACAAAATATAAAGGATGCCAAAGATTTAAACAAAAAAATTATAAAACGACGGAGATATTCTGACATTTCTATGTTTAAAATTTCAAGAGGATATACCTTTTATTTTTTTCTTTAATAACATTTTCATTACCCCTACTTTAAGAGCTTAACGTTATCATAACGTCAGAAATACGCCTCGATTACGATGATTGGCGAAATATTGCACAGTGAATACACCAGTCGGCCCTCTTAAGTGGATGAAAATGAGTTAGATGTACCTGTGATACAGAGGGGACTTTTATATCCTGGAGAACATCCATTTAAACATGAACCATTCACATGGTGACATTGTGATCCGTCAGAACAGTGTCCACACGTTTTGTTACATTTCAATCCATACTTTCCTTCGTCACAATCTATAAGAAGTATGTTGTTTTATATTCACTCTAATAATGCATTATCCTCATTGGAATGACTAATTTGCCTTTCTGATTTCTTGCATGCTTAAATAGTATGAAAATGATCAATATCTGATGCTTCCTAGATTGCATTAGAGAGAACATACATACATACATGTAAGTGACCCAATTTTTTGACAAGAGACTATGCAAATAAGCATTATTTCATAGCTGGCCCCATGTATATATCTGTTTTTGTCTTTCGCAAGTGTTCTTAATATTTCTAATCCTTACTTTTCTTACAAAGATCACCCTCGTATCCCGCAGAACATCCTTGTAGACAGTAACCATTGATATGATGACATGATGAGTTACCAAGACAAAGACCGCATGTCTGCCTACAGGCGTCGCCAAAAAATCCACTGTCACATTCTTAAAAATATTGATATGTTTATGATCAAATCCTAAACACGTTAAAAAATATTAATGAGTTAACACGTGAATATAAGTACTTTTGATAACTGCAAGACAAATAATCATATGAACATATTTTGACTCTTTATTCTTAAAAGTAGAATAAAATCATTAGTTGGTGTAATAATGCAACAAAATATATGTAACTGAAAACGCTGTAAATCAGTTACCTGTGATACAGAGGGGACTTTTATATCCTGGAGAACATCCATTTAAACATGAACCGTTCACATGATGACATTGGGATCCGTCAGAACAGAGTCCACAAGTTTTGTTACATTTCAATCCGTATGTTCCACCCACACATTCTACAAAAAAGTACCAAGTATTTGGTAAATCTCATATAAAAAGCTTATTGTAATGATTTTTGTTTTGTTTTGTTTAAACATCTGTATGTCAAGGTCTATTCGCAGAAAATCAAATATGCCAAATGTGTTTATCATTTTAGTTGGCCTTTCATGCAATGCAATAAAAGATTTATTTACGTGATTGCGAAAAAAACTTGACACTGATCTTAATCAAACATTGACGATATCGATTTTTCTTAATATTGTTGCAGAAAGATCAAACATATTCGGCAGAACACCCTTCTCGACATGTGCCGTTGATATGACGACACTGTTTATTACCATAACAGTTACCCCATTTTTGACTGCAGGATGCTCCAAACATTCCACCGTCACATTCTTTTTGATAATTATAAAATGATAAATTGTATTGTTCATATCAAATCCGCCTTTAAGAAAGAAAAAGAAACTCTCGCTCTCTGAGTTAATTATTCACTATGATATATATAACACAACTTATCAGTACAAATGCATGCGATGCAGAAATTTAAAACAAATTGACAAACACAATGTACACATGTATATATTTCATTATATTTATTTCAGTAAGGTTTTTAATAAAAATTATTAACAAATAAATTAGTAAGCTAATAACTTGTACATACTTTAACTAGGGTTTTCATCTGTTTTTACTTTAAACTTATTTTATTTATTACCTACATAAATAAAACCTGCATATTAATTTACCACTTACTCTGTCTACATTGAGGTCCCTTATATCCCCTTGAACATCCCAAAAGACAGTTTCCTGTTAGAAAATTACATCTCTGTCCAAGACAACTGTCCGAACATAATTGGTCACAATATTTCCCGTAATATGTAGAGTTAGGACATCCTGTTTAAGCAAAAAAAAAAAAAAAAAAAATGAATTCACTGTTTTCATTATTCATTTCTCTAAAAAACTATTAGGACGACAAAGTTTACTATTCTTGTAGTATATCTTTAGAAGAAACAAAATGCAATACTCACCATAAACTTCAAATTCACACAATTCATTAAAAGCATATCTGGAGTAATAATCTGGATAGTGATAGTCAGCCCTCCTCTCGTTGTAGTATATCACATAGCGTCCGTCAAATGGACAACTTATTGTTTGGTTTTCTGTGGGTGTACCGTTATTTTTCTGTATTTCATGAAAACACTCAATACCGTTGTCCTTAGTAGTATAGTTTGAAACGTACACGAAAAATCCAGCAAAACGTCTGTAGAATGCACCAGGACCTATATAAAATGAAATATTGTTTATTCTTTGTCAACCAGTTTGATATCAAGAAAAAGTTGCATCTATTTTGGAATACCATTAAAGTAAAATTTAATTTAAAACAAGAGATGTTTGTAAAACACTTATGCCCCCCTCCCCCACAAATTGGAATTTTTCCAAAAGGTCCAAAAGGGCATAACTCTGTCAAAAATGGTGTGATCATACCCAAGACATAGCTTGACCAAGATATTCATCTGACTAATCTGTATACTAAATTCCATTTCAATATGTGCAACCTCTCCAAAGAAAATGAACGGAAACTGCAAAAATATGGAATTCTTCTAAGTCCAAGGGGCATAACTCTGTCAATTGTGGTGCGGTCGTACCCTAAACATAGCTTTACCTAGATATTTATCTGACTAAATCTGTAAACTAAATTCCATTTCAATATGTGCAACCTCTCCAAAGAAAATGAACAGAAAGTAAAAATAATTGTAATTTTTCGAAGTCCAAGGGCCATAACTCTGTCAATTATGGTGTGATCGTATCCAAAACAGAACTTGGCCTAGATATTCATCTGACTAATCTGTATACTAAATTCCATTTCAATATGTGCAACCTCTCTAAAGAAAATGAACGGAAACTGCAAAAATATGGAATTTTTCTAAGTCCAAGGGGCATAACTCTGTCAATAATGGTGCGATCGTACCCAAAACAGAACTTGACCTAGATATTTATCTGACTAATCTGTATACTAAATTCCATTTCAATATGTGCAACCTCTCCAAAGAAAATGAACGGAAACTGTAAATAATTGAAATTTTTCTAAGTGCAAGGGGCATAACTCTGTAAATTATGGTGCGATCGTACCCAAAACATAACTTGACCTAGATATTCATGTGATATACCTGTATACCAAATTTCGTTTCAGTATGTGCAACGGTTATGAAGAAAATGAACGGAAACTAAATGGACCGACAGACCGACCGACTGACCGACAGACAGCAGCAAAGCAATATGCCCTCCCTTCTTCGAAGGGGGGCATAAAAAACAAACAAATGACAATTTCATCAAACCTGAATCTACATTACCTGAGGATGCTTCCCTATAACTTTCATCTTTCCTGAAACAGTGATTCTTGAGAAGAAGATTTTTAAAGATTTTTCCTATATATTTCTATGTAAAGCTTTGATAGCCCATTATGGCCCCGCCCTACCCCCGGGGGTCATGATTTGAACAAACTTAAATCTACAATACCTAAGGATGCTTCCCTATAAGTTTCAGTTTTCCTGGCACAGTGGTTCTTTAGAAGAATATTTTTAAAGAATTTTCCTATATTTTTCTATGTAAAATTTTGATCGCCCATTGTGGCCCCGCCCTACCCCCGGGGGTCATGATTTGAACAAATCTGATTTGAACAAATCGGAATCTACACTACCTGAGGATGCTTCCATATAAATATAATCATTCATACCTTTGCTATTCTTGAGAAGATTTATAAAGAATTGTCCTATTTATTTCTATGTAAAACTTTGATCGGCCATTGTGGCCCTGCCCTACCCCCTGGGGTCATGATTTGTAAAAAACCTGAATCTACATTACCTGAGAATGCTTCCCTATAACTTTTATCTTTCCTGAAACAGTGGTTCTTGAGAAGAAGATTTTTAAAGATTTTTCCTATATATTTCTATGTAAAACTTTGATCGCCCGTTGTGGCTTCGCCTACCCCCGGGGGTCATGATCTGAACAATCTTAAATCTACAATACTTAAGGATGCTTCCCTATATGTTTCAGCTTTCCTGGCACAGTGGTTCTTTATAAGAAGATTTTTAAAACATACCATCAAATTTTCACTATTTCTTAATTATCTCCCCTTGAATAAGGGCGTGGCCCTTCATTTGAACAAACTTGAATCCTCTTAACCCAAGGATTCTTTGTGCCAATTTTGGTTGAAATTGGCCCAGTGGTTCTTAAGAAGAAGTCGAAAATATGAAAAGTTAACGACGACGACGACAACGACGACGACAGACAAGGGACAATTTGAACAGAAAAGCTCACTTGAGCCTTCGGCTCAGGTGAGCTAATAATACAATAAATTTTCAGATGATGATTATAATGCATCTAATATTGGTCCCCATATTTCATTAAAATTATCTTAATTACTTTTTTAGCAATACACGACTCTTTTAAGGAGTAATTCCTTTTTCATCAGATTTTTAAAAAAAAAGTTGTGTTACTCTGGTTCTTTTTTAACGACATCCAAATTAGATACAGTCACTGAATATATTTATGACTTTGCAAGCAAAATGCAGTAATTCAAACCATCACATTTTCTCTTATATTGACCTAACTAAAGATAACATTTTGACAAGAAAGCGTTTCTTTATTGAATAATTGTAGATTATTCCTCCATGTTATAAAATGGTTCCAAAAAGTAGCAACACAAGCACAGTAATAAAGTTTGTGTTCTAAAGTGTCTTCTTTTTTCATATAATAAGCATTGTGGTGAAGTTTGAATTTTTATTTGAAACAGTTTATTATATGATAAAAATCTATGAGTTAGCTTATACTGGAAGAATGTAGAGATGTTTCATTAGAACACACAAAATGTAGCATGAAATTTTTTTCTAAGTCTGTAGGTTAAAAATTTATGTTTAATATGTATCACACTTACTAGGTGTATTACCAGTCCTGTAGTAGATGTGGATGTGACTGATGCTGACTATCCTCCCTAGATCTACATACCATTTTGCCGTTACTTGATCGTTTGCCGATATTGTACATTGGTTTCCCACTACAGAGCGGTTAGAATACTTCCCATCTACTGCCTTAGCTGCTCCCCAGTCTAAAGAATGGCCTGGGTAATCATGGTCCTGCCATGCTGGTCTCCGGAGGGCAAAATTAACTTGTGAATAGAATATTTTAAAAAATTAAGGTCAGACGACACGATCCTCAAATATATCTTTTGTAATTCTTGGTATTATATCAAAAATTATTTGTATTTGTCATTTTCTTCTTATCTCTACATTGTTTTCAGAATGTTTTTAAATTTAAGTACACCAAAAATTATGAAAAAGGCCATTCAGAATATTATTCATAAGGGTTAGGTAAGAAATATGACCCTGTGGTATCTTGTTCAAATGCCTGGTAAGGTACCCTAATTTTTTGTGAGTAAACTTGTTTAAGTACCTATACTTCAAACACAAATTCTTAGAAAAAATTATATATAAATTATTTAAATTTGAGGAACGTGTCGTCTGACCTTAAACATGTTATACGATATAACACAGGGAAGGTCAAAATCATTGTAGAAGTCATTGACAATCATAATCATCAATCAAAAAAATTCGGGAAGAAAAATACCGTTTAGGACTGAGAAATTTATGAAAATGACATAACTTACAATAACTACAATATAGGCCCTGAAATCCTTCTATACATCCATTCAGACAGTTTCCAGTGTTGGCGTCACACTGCTGTCCCAGACAGTTTTGTGGACAGGGTTTGCTACAATTCTCTCCATAGTATCCAGTAAGAGGACAGCCTTTTAAAAAAGCGAGGCAAATTAATCAATATACCTTGTGTATTGTCCAAAATACAAAATTACAAATCGTAAAATATAGCCAGGCAGTGTAAAAGATAAGCCTGTAGTGTAAACTGTAACACTGTGTGTAATAAGACAGAACTTACCAAATACTTTCACTTCGCACAATTCATTGTATGCATACCGAGAATAGTAGGAAGGGTAGTGAAAGCGTTGGATTCGTTCATTGAAGTAAATAACGTATCTTCCATACACTGAGCAATTGATTCTCTGGTCTTCCGTTGGCGTACCGGTCACATTTTGCAATTCGTGAAAACACCTCTTCCCGTTCTCCTTTGAAGTAGTATTGGTGACGTAGAGGAAAAAGCCGGCGAAACGATCGTAAAACGCACCGGGACCTGAAACGGTACAATCTTCAGATCAGAGATTAATGACATGGAAGCTATAAAATATATCTTTGCTAACTTCAATCTTAGTTATACATACTATCTTTGTCATTTGTTCAATATCAGCTTAATAAGAAAATTGAAAGGCTACAAATCATTGAGACATTATGTGCGCAAAGTAATTTTTCCCCAAAGGTTATTGATTTCATTGTAATAGACGGTTTAATACAATTTGAAAAAGAAATTATAATTTGAGAAAAAAAATTATAGGCGCTTAGCCACATCCATCACTGCAAACTTTCTGTTAATATTCGGTTTTTTTTACAGTGTACATACTAGGATCATTTTCAGTCCTGTAAAAGATGTCGATATAACTAATGCTGACAACTCTCCCAAGATCTACCCTCCATTCTGCTGTATAGAGTCCATCTGCTGATATTGTACACTGGTTTCCTCCTGCTGAGCGGTCAGTATATTGTCCATCCACTGCCTTGCTTGCTCCCCAAGCTACGTCTTTCCCGGCATCAGGCCAATTGTGCGCCTGCCAGGCGGATTTATGTAAAGCCAAATTTTCTTAAAAAGAAAATGTAAAATTACAAGAAACACTGCACCTCTTCAGGTTAAAGAATATTTTTTGTATAAAGTAGTTTAATAATAAAAAAGAACTTGTAAACCTCAAACACTCATGCAACAATCATCTGCAAATATTTTGAAATAAATTCTAAAAAATTATGTACAAATTGTACAAAAAACTTTCTAATTTCTCAATGCTTCTTACAATTAGACTAATTTAAAAAAATATAAATTAAAAAAAACTTGTGTGACCAAAACAGGAAAAAATATAATTTTTTTTATTAAATTAATCTAGAATATTACACAATATTTTGTCATATAAACAATTTTAAGAACTTATTAGAACCCCAAATTAAGAAAAAAGACCCATTTCATTAGAAATATATCAGTCACAATTTACATTGCCATTCAATGCATATAAACACTGTTAAAGATATGTATGCCGTGTTAAACAGTATTTTCGCACAGCTGAAACCAAACAAAAACTTCTTAAGTATGATAAGCTTCCAAAAATGAAGCATTCTCGCAAATTCGACGAAATATTATTCGGTATTTAAAAAGGACTGGTCGGGAAAAGAACAGGATATTCTCATGCATATTTATAAAGGACTGACGTTTATATTGGATCTGCGCATGTGCGCGGGAAAGCATCATGAGAATCATCAGGTCGAGGAAACTATTTTTTGTGACGTCTGTTCAGCGAGGAACCAACAAGACTGACAAATCGACTAATCAGCTCAATGAGTTGCATTTGATGCATTTATGGGTTATACTACTCAGTACATAAATACTACATGTGTTTTTCGAACAGGCTAGTTTTTTAAATCGCTCTCGGAAAGACGTGGTGCATTTTCCCAAGCATTTACACGCCTAATGCATTATGTACATTATCATCTACTAATCCCATGCTAACATTTGCATACAAATGAACAATGAAAAAAATAAGGGTTTTCCCCACTCTATTGTACAGGTCCGTTTGTTTACAGTTTCCACGTGCTGTACTGACAGTGAAAAGACAATTGCACGTGACTATATTTCTTGGTACAAAAAAACTAACTCTGAGGTGTGCTCACGTATTAATAATGTTTACAATGTGTACAACTTCGAAACATACAGTATGCTACTCAATACACGTTCTACGATCAGTGCACATCAGATTTAATATAGAGGTAATTTTAGTTTAAACCATGAAACTTAAGTCTTTTTTTATATAAATGCATAAACTTTAAATTTCTACATGAAGTAAATGACTGAGCAACAACTAATTCAACTAGTTACATGACTTTACGAATATCGAGTTTAAAAACTGGAGTCTTATTTACTTGTGGAGAAATGTGAGCGGTATTTCAAAGTACTTTTTAACAAGAAAAACTGCATTTGTTTGTTAATGTGAGCATGGGAATTCTCAATTAGTAACTATTCTTCCTATTTTTCTCAAACAGGTTAAAAAAAATGTAAATTGGCTTTCCACCGTCATTTGAAATCGCATCGTACATTTCCCTAAGTAACCCACGTGTTTGTAGTAAAAACGTAGTAGACCATCATGCTTTTCGGCTCATTCACGAGATTGGACCATTGTTTGCTGTGAGCATGCGATACCACGTGTTTATGTATATTTCAATAAGAGGCGGTTTAATATCCGACTCGGAGAGAAAATAATTTTGACAAAAAAATATTTCATAACTTTTAAAAGTGATGGAGTGGAAGTGTCTTAATTGCAGAAATTACATAACTTATGTAACTTGATGAGACACCACATATATTTATTTCTTTAGCAATAAAACACTAATACGGCATATATATCTTTAAGTTATATTTTTTTCACTAGAAATAGGATAGTCAAATATAACACATAATCAAATAACTAAGTTTACATGTAAATGATTGTTCAAAGAGGAGGGTTGCAAAAATGACTGATTAAATTTTTACGCTTTAAAAATAGTATTGATTTTTACGGTTTTGCTTGTAAGGTAACCATGTAAAGTTTAATTAAAAGAAAAACATGGTGATTGTCACAAAACGTTTAGGACAATTACCAGTTTAGTTTGGACTTTCAGTAAGGCTCGATGTTATCTAATTAGCTTTTGAAATTTACACAGCTTTCCTTCTCTGTCGAAATATACATAGGATAGATATTCGGCCAAATCTCTACTGGTGTAGTAAATAGCCAATTTAAAGTTCTCCCACGGCACAGAGGCACATAAGTTGTCTCATCTTTGTCAACAACAATTTATAGTTCCTGATGTTATTAATTTCTTAACAAATGAGAATCTACTAGTATTCGCCATTACGTAACGCCGAGAATGACACGCCTCAATGAAAGTCCAAGCTAACCTGAGAGCTGTAATATTTCATATCTACTGCAAACTCGTATGTTACATGTATATGGAACAAATTGATACTTTCTCTGCGTTGCTAAAATTTAAAATAAAACCTCTACTGAACGTTATTGAAGTCTCCTCTGATGTCGTTTAAAATTTCATAATGTAAATATCCATTAAATGGACATGACAAATAAAAAATTCGTCCAAAAATTTGTATGGAAAGATAAGTTTTTACGGCCTTAAAACCTAAAGAAAAGTGTTTTTGAATATATAGTAACTGTTGAAGTTACACCCTGAATACCCGTGAAAACATGAGAAATTTTACATGTAAACCTTCAATCCAATAGAAATTGAATATATATTTATATTAGGATCAATAATTTTCCTCTCATCAATAATATACCCAAGTTAAAATTCTTTTCATGAATACGGCGAATGGAATCGGAAATTTTCTATAACAGTTTTTTCACTGTTTTCACTTACCAACTGCACAAGAATAAGCCACGTAGGAAAGGAAATGGATGAAGCTAAACATCAACATAGCATCAAAATATTCCAAATCAACAACTAATACCTGCAAAAGAAAACTCATATACATTAATTCTTTCAAACTGAGATGCTCCAAACAAAAAAAAAATATTGCAAGGTCATTTGCAGGACCCCTTTTTATGATTGTTAGCCTAGATGATAAAACAGTTTGATTTTCCAGATCTGTGAAATCGGTGTCATACTGAAACCCTTTTCTTTAACGAAGAACATGTCATGTTTATTCTCTATCGGATCTCAAAAGGAATTACAGCTCACTTGTGTGTGTGTGCGTTGGGTAGAGGAGGTCCTTGTGCGTGTAACAAAAGTGACGATATTTTGTGTGTATCGGGATCGATAGGTAAACAATATTGGACTGATATGCTGATATTTTATCTTTCCTTAGTTATTTTGTCAACATTATCGGCGTAATCACCTGACAAAGATCCATTTTATCAGCAGATTGGAAGGGTCCTTGAATTATAAACTCCGACATCTTTGTTGTTGTGCAATACTGTCACGCCAAACTATTCTCTTGTCAGTTTGCATTTTTATTTGTTGATGAGACTGGAGATTAGAACATACTTAAAAATCGTCAAAATGCACTATTTTGGGGTTCGAGTATGACTGCAATAAAGCTTTATATTCTCAGTTTTTGATTACGAGTATGGATTTAGAGAACGGATTAAAAATTTGAGTGCGAAAATAAATTCCAAAACGTTTATTACCTCAGGAATGGGGGAGGGGGGGTGCAACAATTCCGTCAGTTTTTTAACTATAAAAGATATTATATATATATATACTTTTCTGTAGTTACGGAGAAACCGGTATTTTTATTCAGGCCTCAATAATAAAAAAAAATCATACCCAGATTACGTTTGAATTGTTCTAGGGCTATATCTTATGAAAAAAAGTTTTTATCGCTGGTTCATATACATGTATGTGCAAAACTTTTTTGAATTCCAGTAGATCAATATTCATAATACATACAGTCATTTTTTTGGTTGAAACTGTTGAAGGTCATATAAACCTGGAAAATGACTATTCGTAAACTTCAGGAATTCATGTAGCTCCTGTATTGCTGTATTATAATTACTTTAATTACTTTGCATGCAAAACCTGACCCATTTAATTAAGAAATTTCTCCGACAGGGCGAATCTCATACGTTTTCAAGTTTCATTTTTAGGAAAAGATTGTACAGTCTGTGTATTTTTGTCTTGTTTGAAAAAAAATATCCATTGATTTCGATGTTAAGTATATCAAAGTCATAATGTTTAGAAAAAAGATTATTTGTTACATGTAGCAAGATGTCATTTGTGGTGCAATGGATTTCAGTAAAATCTTCAAAACAATTTTCACGCAGTGTAGCGATCATGTATATGCAACAATGCAAATGCATATCTTTGCGATAAGCAGAATAATTGGGTCTCGTACGAGTTGATAATGAAAAACGTCAATCCCTCCATTCTAACAAACGTGCAAAAATGAGCATGCTCCTTGAATCATGTTTGAACTATTCATTTTCACTGTTATTTCTTTCTAAAGATCATCGATATATCTGAAAATACCAGATCTTTGTATATTTAGATGAAAATATACATGTATATAATGAATAACTGATTTCAAATGAATATCCCGCTAACAATAGAACTTGTTCGCAAAGTTTTCTACTAATCTTGGTATATACATAATTTTGCACACGGCGTAATTAAAATATTTTTATCCCAAGTACAATAAATTTCAAGTTTGCTTGTTTCACAGCAACTAAATTCATCAATGACAGGAAGACGGATGCAATGACTTTCAAACATTCTGAGAGTATTGCATTAGCAATACTAGTCCTCTACCAGCCAGTAAAAATTGGTTCCCGAATAAAAAACCCTTAATTCCTCAAAATCATTGAAGCGATACGAAATGCCAGCTTGTTCCATATTTTATCCAGATTAAATCACAGACCAAATACCAGTTCAATATCTGCAAGGAATTAGAAAAACATTGCAGAAACCCCTAATATTAAAAATGTTATTCTATCAAGAATTACTATAAAGCAGAACGAAATGCTAACTCTATCTGCAAGTTATTAATCTGCAATCATATATATTAACAAAAATTCGGCTCAATATCTACAAGCTTTAGTGAAAATGCTGAAAACCAAGATGTTGGACAGACAGACGCATAGGAAACCTACTGTTCCAGTCGGGGACAAAACCAAGAAAAAGAAAGTATGTATTTCAACAGGAGAGCTACTCTGCAATGTCGGTGAGAGGTTAATTTATAAAAATGAAAAGGTATTCGTTTACCGATACAATAAGCAAATGTTCTTTCAAGAAATTGACTCTGATTTGTTTAAATTCGAAGAGGACATACCACTTTTTGTTACATTGATATGCTTCAGGAACATAGAATGTGATGATGTTCTTAATATTATTTATATATCTACACTTACATTGTATATTTCAATTCAGTTAAATTTGTGGATAGAAATAGTTATGTAATAGTAAAATATAAACGGAAATATTTTGGATCTTACCTTATTATCCAGTTACGTCAATGACAGAAGTCAACAGATATCCTGATAACTTTGTTTAAGTAGAGACAAGGAAGTGTAGATAAAAAATATAGAGAGATTTCATATCTCTGTGTGTCACTGTGTGTTTAACAAATAATGCAAGGTGTGCACTGAAGATTTGTAAAGTTATTTTTATCATTATGTGTCCTAGGAGATTTACAAATCTCACGTATCTGCCTCCATTTATCGACAAAATTATCATGTCTTTCGTATTAAGGAAAAATATAACACAAAGAAATGTTTACAAGAGGTTTTTGTATTTTAAAAATAGCATTAAAATGAGGGGAACAGAGTACAAAGATAAAAATATATATTACAGTCATAGACTAAATAGTAAAAGTTAAATAGCAACTAATGAAAATATGTTTCTGAAAATATTACTAGCATCCGCAGGTACAAAACGCTTTTTATGCATTTTGAAAAATTGATAAAAGAGTATTTGTATGAAAAGAACAAGTTGTAAATCTGAAAACAGCATACCTTTTGTATAAGTGTTCAGAACAAAGTTGTGCATCTGAATACAGCATACGTTGTGTTTAACTATTCAGAACAAAATTGCGCAAATTGAAATTAACATGCTGCAGAGGGGAATTATCGTAGTAAAACAATACACGCTGAATACATTATTAAATTATGGTTTATCTTATATTCATTTTCATGCTTTTTAAAATTTTTTATTATGAAGTTGAAAGTATGTTTACCCAACATTGAAATATTTTAATCGAGTCTCCTGGATTGGGCCAATGACACTAAAACTTGGTATTTTTAAACAAAGTTTCCGATTTTGCGTTGTCATTGCAGATATAGCATATTTCATAGTACTGTTCTTGTAATATACTAGAGCAAAATTATTTTTACCCCCTTCCTGAAATAAAGTCTGAAATTAGTTTACTGCTATTAATCAAGACGTTACAATTCTATTTTAATTTCTTTTTACCTCTTGATCTAACACACTTTAAATTTTTAACATTATTTAACAAATTAATGATAAATAAAACAACACAAATTTAAAAACAGGGTCATTAGAATATTAAATTTCAACGTGACTTTCAATATTATTTAATATTTGGACTATTATAATTAACACTTCAACTTCAGTTTCACTTACAAACTTTAAGATTATTATACTGTAAATGTTTATTGATGTTCAAGATAAGCACATCTTTTTTTTCAAAATACAATAAGCATTAATTTGTTTTAAACCAGAAGTCTCTGTCGAGACTGTAGCTCTACTGGCTTGTACTTATAACAAAGGATGAGAAAAGAAGCCATTGCCATCAGATCAAAACTGTAGAAGGAGTAGCGTAGGAATTTCATGGACATTTCTATTTCTAGTAACAATGACAACACTGTTCATCAAAATCAAAAACCGATGCATCATTTTATGTATCTTAGTGTAGTCTACTTGTGTGCCAAGTTATATTGAAATCATACCAAATTTGTAGGAGGAGTAGCAATTTTAAGGAATTTCACAGAAAATTCTATTTTTAGTAACCATAGCAACACCGTTCATAGAAATCAAAATCCGATGAACCATTTTATGTATCTGAGGGTAGTCTACTTGTGTGCCAAGTAATATTAAAATCAGACCAAAACTGTAGAAGGAGTAGCGTTTTTAAGGAATTTCACAGAAAATTATATTTTCAGTAACCATGGCAACACCATTCATCGAAATCTAAATTTGATGCACTATTTTATGTATCTTAGTGTAGTCTACTTGTGTACCAAGTAATATTAAAATCAGACTAAAACTGTGGGAGGAGTAGCATTTTGAAAGCATTTCACAGAAATTTTATATTTTTAGTAACCATGGCAACACCGTTCATTGAAATCAAAAACCAATGCACAGAATTATGTATCTTAGTTTAGTCTACTTGTGTGCCAAGTTATATTGAAATCAGACCAAAACTGTAGGAGGAGTAGCATTTTGAAAGAATTTCACAGAAATTTCTATTTTTAGTAACCATGGCAATACCGTTCATCGAAATCAAAAACCGATGCATAGAATTATGTATGTTAGTTTAGTCTACTTGTGTGCCAAGTTATATTGAAATCAGACTAAAACTGTAGGAGGAGTAGCATTTTGAAAGCATTTCACAGAAATTTATATTTTTAGTAACCACGGAAACACCATTTATCGAAATCAAAAACCGATGCACAGAATTATGTATCTTAGTATAGTCTACTTGTGTGCCAAGTTATATTGAAATTGGACCAAAACTGTAGGAGGAGTAGCATTTTGAAAAATTGTTTACAGACAGACAGACGGACGGACGGACGACGGACGCATTACTATCGCATAAGCTCTTCTGGTCTCTGACCAGTAGAGCTAATAAGAAGAACAAAATATGTTTTATTATACCTCTGTGAAATCGTTCTATATAAAAATATTGCATGCTATCTTTTCCAAACAGCCCCTTCCGTGAAATGGTTTTTGTGTTATCTGCCCATGGTGAAATAGTCATCACACTATTCACCGGCAGCATTGTTTCCCTCGCTTTTCACCTCAGAAAACTTCTGATTTTATACGGATGCGACGTATATATTATGACGTAACAGAAGTAAAGTATGGATAGGTATAATAAAACACCTATTTACTGAGTATTCGGACAAAAGCAAGTTTATCGTCCTCCCCCTCGACAACAAACTATTTCCCTCGGCTGCGCCTCGGGAAATGGTTTGCTGTCTTGGGGGACGATGAACTTGCTATTGTCTTCATAGCCAGTAAATAGATGTATAATATATTTTTCGCAGTTATTCTTAAAAAAAACACATTATAATCGAATTGAAACTTTCAAATAACAACTTAATTTATGTACGCATCCTGTAAGTTCAATGAACACAAGTTATCAAAATAAAAATCTATAAGACATTTCATCATGAATAGAACTTCACATTTATCAACAAGCTTTCAATTAATCGTCAT